AAATACACCGTTTGACATACCCCTACCCAACGGTTTCGACATCCACAACTCTGTGACACATTTGATGAAGGCCTTCGCTAATCTTCCAAGTTGCTATTGTCATTTTGATCTCCTATAGAGAGTTCTTTAAAGAGCAGTCCAGAGGTTTCAGGATCACCTCAGGGCAAGCGGGTCAGGGGTTCATCCTGCCATGGCTCCCGACAGTCCATGGAAATGGGAAGATTCTTCTGCCCACTTTTGAGATTTGGGAAGAATCTTTTATTTTAAAGTAAGAATCAAAGTGAGTCACAAGAAATCAGAATAACTCATTTTTTTCAAAATTAACCTTAATATAGTTTTTAAAAATTTTCCTTGTGCTTTATTTAAAACATACCAGGGTTTATGAATACTGAGGTTTTATATAAGGTAAAGGGAAAGTTGAAGATCTACTTGACAGTGGAAAAAAAGGGTGGTGGTGGTGGTGAGGGGGGACTTGGACTCTAGAAAGCCCAATTGGCATAAATGATTGGAAGCACTTCAAAGGGATTAGGAATTAAGCCACTGGCTCAGGAAGCACATGGATTTCTGCTCTTTTCTGATGACTTATCATGTGCCAGGCACTTGGTCTGGCCGGGATGCACACACAGAGGTTTTCTTACATGTTCTCCTTACCCACGTTGATGCTTTTACAGGGGATGGGGGCGACATAGGAACGGTGTCCTCACATTGGAGACTACCCTCAGGGCTCAAACATGGCACAGTCCCAGCCCCCTTCTTCTTTGTAAACATTTGAATAACATTCACTCACTCAGGCAAAAATATTAGCCCATAGTCCCTAAAGGCAGGTAAGACAAAAGCGAAGCCTATGAGTGAAAGGCTGGAGATGGAGGTGTGGAACCGAGATAGAATTTAGCCCGGAATGTGAAGTTGAGAAAGATTTTATTGAGACAGGGAAAGGACTTCTTGGAGGGAAGGGAGAGCAGGGAAAGGGTCTGGGGCATCTTGAGCCCCCGGGCAGGTTCTGTGACCCAAGGAGTTAGGTCAGGGAAGTCGCACCTGGTACTGGGGCGGCGCGATATACATAGGGCATGAGCTTAAAGGCATGTGGGCTGGTAGGGGAAGGAGGGAGGTTCTTTGTGCTGCAGTTGCAAGTTTAGGGCCAGGTGACATCTTGTTAGTAAATCACGTTGTTCCTAGGAAACAATGCTAGGGAGAGGGTGGCTGTGTTCTGTCTGGGGAGATAAGCTCTGTGAAACACTGAAGGCAGGTGCTGTGAAGTTCAGGTGTTTTGAAATTCAGCCAGGTCATTTGTCTTTTTGAAAGCTGGGACAAGGGGCTGCTTTGGTCCCAACCCGGCCAATAATGAGGATGGGTGTCAAGCACATGGCTAGTCTCCCCAGCACATGCTAGCCAGCCCAGCTACTGACGTGGCCAGTGCCGGGCACCTCAAGAGCAATAAAGCTTGCAGCAAATCCCAAAGAGCTCCTAGACCCTGACCCTGGAAGAACTGTCCCCTGCTCTGCCCACGGAAGGTGCATCTGCTTTATGCCCCATCCAGTCCCGTGCTTTCTGATGCCCATGTCTAAGCATCTTTCCTGCTGCCAGATGGGGCTTCCTCTTGCTTCTGTTTCCAGAAAGTCCCTTCTCGGGTAGCTAACACTGGCGAGGATTTGATCGGCAAGTGTACATAGATGTGAACTGGCCAAGATACGAACACTCATGATGAACCCATTCCATAGCCCACAGGGGACAGTGAGAGCCCACCCAAACTAGCCCAGCACTGCCTCATGGGTTCTGATCCACAGAGACCCTGTGGGACCGAGTGGAACTGCCCTATAGAGTCCCCAGGACCGCAGTCTTTCCAGAAGGTGACTGACTGCCGCATCTTTCTCTCACGAAGTGGCTGACGCGTGGACTGGAAACAGCCAGTGCTTCACAACTCTGCCACCGAGGCTCTGTCCAATCAAAGCGCAGGCGGTCATGTTTGTGGAAACTGCTCTCAAGAGGAGTGGCTCCTTCAGAGTGTGTGTCAACAATAACAAAAAATTCACGGTTACAGTCGATTCTGATCCACAGAGACCCTGTGGGTTTCTGAGACTGGAACACTTTATGGCAGTAGCAAGCCTCCGAGAGGCTAGCGGTTTTGAACGACTGACCACGGCACCACCAGAATATGTGTCACCTAGCTTTCATCGGGTGTCTGCTTTGAATAAGGAGGGTCCCTGGTGGCATCGTAGTTAAAGTGCTTGGTTGCTAACCAAAAGGTCAGTGGTTTGAGCCTACCAGGCCCTTCCAGGGAGAGAGATGAGGCACTGTGCTCATGTAAAGATCTATGACCTGGGCATGTTTGTGTCCTGTTCTTGGACCTAACAGCAGGGGACTTTTGGTTCTAGTCTGTGTGAGGAGTCCCATGGTGAGCTTGGCTGCTAACCCCAAAGGTTAGACGTTTGAGTCCAGCCAGAGGTGCCCCAGAAGAAAGCTCTGTGACTGAAA